AGATTACGCGGTCACATTTTCTGAACATGACCAGAGTCTTAAACAGGTTCATTTTCACTCTTACTTCGATGTTGACGTTACTCAGCTCTTGAATTCTTTGTTGGGGTTCTTCTGATGACCTGAAAACGGTGGTGATATGGTCCGCAAACCACAGATTGCTAAGTACTGCACATTCATGTTTATCGTCAGATTTGCCAATGGTGTCGTGAAAATTTCTGCGATATTGCACTACTCTGAAGAACGCCTTATTCGATTTTTAACATTCTTGTGCTTTTGTGAAGCTTCACACTAACAGATAGATTCTTGTAAATCATGTCCGTGAGACCTCTGTCTCTTCCTGGATTCGTTGATTCATCAAGGAATCCAGTACAGAACGGATGGAGACTCTGTCGATCTTCCCGATGAACCTCAGGCGGAGGAAGCTAATATTCGTCGCGTGTCTGCATTACTTTTGTAATACACGAGACATGCATTACAACTTGCATATCTGTGGCGCAAATGTGCCTAGAAACAGGATACCTCGAGCGCCAAAAAAGAGAAGGACGGACCGACGGTAACAGCCTGTATTCGTTGTTGAAAGAAAACCGCAATGATAAGACATGGCAGGACAAGCGTACCTTGGACGAACTGCATGTACAAAGGATTGTTTCGAGGGGTCATCATCGGATTGACCATATTGAATCGCTGCTGAAACAGATGTTGCTGTACGAGCTGCTCCTGAAGTGCGCGTTGCTGCATCGCTCTGGCCATCTCTTGCGGACTCATCTGGTTTTGACAGCCTGGGTGGAAACTGACCGGAGGAAAAGGCATCGACTGGTTGCAATGTTGGTCTTCGCGGGAAGTGAGCACCGACAACGGCTGAGTGACCATTCTGGTAGCCAGCTCGGCGGCGGTCGACGAGTGCACACTGCTTGCGTCGCCGACAGCGCCATGTTCAGCGCTGCCGCGTCCGTCCCTGCTGTTTCTGTATGAATGCATCTGCTTCATGACGGATGTAGGCAAGAAAGAGGTGGGCGAGTGTGAAGCGGACTGAAAATTGACCATCGAGTGCGAACAGCCATCTTTCGGCACGCTCTCAAGCGACTCTCCGACAACGACAGACGAGGAAGCTACTTTCGTAATCGAACTCGGCGTTGACGTTTCATCTGCCGATGCAGCCGCAAAGACCCCACTACGGTTGAAACCGTGCTGTGCATGAAGCGGCGACAACGGATTTATGCCCCTGACACTGGACGTCGTCGTAACGTACGATTGGTGATTCGCAGGCATCGCCGCCTGTGCTGCGTGTTCGTTACAACGAATCATTGATGGTCGCGCAGCATGCGATTCACCCGATTCATTTCCCACATGTCTTTGATAAGTAATACCTAAACAAATACATAAAACAAACAACTGAAAAGCATATACGTAAAAAGAAGTTAATTTACCGCCGGTCTCCTGATCGAACGGAAGACCCATTTGGGAACGAGAAAGACTTTGCGAAAGAAGGTCTAGCTTTTTAAGCGCGTCACGTGTAAAAGCATCTCGATTTTTACCGTCGATACTTCCTTCTTGATTAGTGTTTAATGGAACATCAGAGGCTGGCCTGAGCGCCTGCTTATCGCCTCCTCCATCCGAACCGGCTCCAGACTAAAACAGTACACAATCAATTGCAGCACTCACAATTAATTATTTTTCACTAATAAGCAACTAAAATATAACAAATCAAAACATATTTACAAAAATTTAATGCCATACAAAATGAAACACTAACAGGAATAATAATACTCTATGCCCAAAGTTAGCTCTGCGTACACAGGACTGCCAATTTGAGCTGAAAATGTATCGCCGCCTGTGATGGAGCCTTCGACTCAACCGAATGAAAACCAAAATGATCAGGAAGGCAGAAGGAACAGCGACGGACATATCATTTGATGGGGACTGGCTTTACGAATCACATTACTTAAAATGCCTTCAATAATCTATTATCAACTACAGGCACTGTGACGCAGAACTGAAAGGGAGAATTGTTTTAGCCAAAGTATTTGCAAGCCTAGCGAAGATTTAGCATCTGCAGAGCAACAACCTGAAGAAGGTCAGGATCATCAAGTCGTCAATCTTCTCTATTCTCCTGTACGGTTCAGAAACAGCAACTTTCCGAAAGCCTACGAGTGACACCTAAACATTTACCAGAAAAGGTGCTTGTGCAGCCTCTTAAGGGTATGCTAGAAGCGTCAAACAATCTCAACCGGAAGGTGCTCTGTGTGATGATACCAGGCGTCATATCTGTTTTACAAGAACGAGAATTGCATAATTTGACAAAACAATCAGCAATGTCAACATCGCTGGTTGATTAGATTCTTTCGTGAGAACCCAATGACGGAAGCCCCATGCTCAGAGGTCAACATCGAACGTGGACAGACAACCCTTCAGGCAAACCTGCCATTCATCCATCAGGAATCTTTCCTTTGCGGAAGCAATGAAAAGCGCTAAAATCATACTAATTCCCCATAAGTACTGCGGACATCATAAGTTTAAGCATTGCAACTTCTGACATAGAGAATTAATTACAATGACACACATGCATACAGCTGACGGAAAGATATGCAATTTCGCACTGATCCTCACGTTTCTGTGCAATCCTAAACGTACAAAATATGCTAAACTCTGTCCATTACATAAAACTATTTGTCAAATGTCCATCTGACCTTCTGTTGCTTTCGAACCTGTCGTGCCATTTTTTCAGAGAGTCAGAGTTTTTCTTCATGATGAAAATGTCGCATTTTTGCTCCACGTTTCCTTAAAGCATGGAAGATGACCAAACAGTACTCAAACCAATTCGTTTGTCTTTAATACTACCCTGGAAATTTGCAATACACTCGCCTGTATCATGTCTCAAACAAGAGCTTGCGTTCTGACTCTGACGATCCAAATTTCACATCCACAAGTGGCGAC